TGCCTGCTTGAGCAGGAAGGTTGGACTAGATGATCTGTAGAGGTCCCTTCCAACCTTAAATATTCTGTGATTCTGTGATTCTGTGAAGTTCAGCCGTCTTGCTTCTGGAGGAGCCTCATTCTGTTTTTACACCGAGCAGTGTCCAGCAGGAATGTTCTTGTAGTGCTTTGCAAGAGCTCTTCCTTCTTTGTGGAAGTCAAAATGTCGGCTGTTACTGGTGAATTAAGAACATTTGTCACAGATGCTCATCAAGCAATAGACTCCTCTGTGATCCCAGTCCCATTGATGATCATGACATAAAATTCACATTTTTTGTCTTCTTCAAGACAGGATACTTTGTTAAATGTTTGTCTTGGTTTCATAATTAAAAAATATATGGCTAGTTCTTGACCAGTTATTAAACAGCTCATTTCAATATTTGCAGTAGAATAATGTAGTTATTTGCTTCAGTTTGCTTATTTGCAGTTTACTTACCTAAAGTATATTAAGTGTTTTTGCTTGTGAATGTTCACATTATAAACTTCAAGTTACTGTGGGTCGTGAAAAGGGATTTTCTGCACATAGCATTAAATATCAAATATAAATCAATCTATAATTAACTTTTTAATGCTGAATTTATGATCTTTCATTAGTTTGTGTAGTACTCCAAAGTTTATTTAATAATTAATGTAACTAAATTATTGAATTTATTATGTAACAAATCTGTATAATTTCTGTGTTGTAAAAAGAGTTTTCTAATTCCTAATCCTCATGAAATATGACTCTCATTTTTACACTATTATTTTGTTTACTACACTGCACTATTACTTTTTATGTTTTACTACTGTGATGCTGGAGAACAGTATACCCTCTTTTATTTCTTAAACACAGAGTAGAAAATTTTGGAATAAAAGAGTGTAAAAGAAGATAAAGATGCGTTTAATACAACATGTCAATACAACAATGTCAATATAGCAAGTAAGAAACAAAAATTAGACAGGAACAAGGAAGACAGAATGATAGGAAAAGCAGAGAGAATAAAGGAAAAATAGTGTTGTCTTATAAATGAAGGAGAATTTACTACTGAGGAACATTAAGCACAAATTTATGGAAATTATCTAAAAAAAAACACAATTAAAGGAGGTAGGAGTTAACTACTTCATGAGGACTACTTTCTGTCCTTCAAATTTTATGTATGTTTTGCACTGAAGTTACAGCCAGCTCTACAGTAGATGTAGGCTAGACTATTTCTAAATTTTCACCTTGGCCTCAATTCTTCGTCTGAGAATCTCCTGAGTTCATTTATATTTGGAAAAGCTGCTGCTGCATCAGTAGTAGTCAAGAGAGGATACGCTGGATATTTTGTTTGTTTGTCTTTTGGGTTTTTCTTTCCTGTGCTCACTGTTAAAGGCAGGACTCCTTTTTTCACCCCTTATGATGTATTAGTTGCCAGCAGCGACAGTGAAATGCTGGTCATGAGACATTTTGGATCTTCCATCACATTGTGGGAAATCTGTCTCTCTGAAGGAGCATTCGTGGTTCAATGCAGAGCCAGCCGAAGCCTCGTGCCTTCCAGCCAGCTCCTGGAGTTTGGTGTTAATCAGCCAAGGGGCCCCTCTCTCAGGGAGCGATTTAATCAGCAGCCTTGGGTGCTTTGCTACATGCTGACAGTGCAGTTGGCCCTTTGGAAACATTTCAAGTTAATCAAAACCTCAGGATTCTCTCCTTTACATTTTTTGGCAAGTATTTGTGATAACAGCCATGGAAGCTGGGGTTGGAAATCTTGTTCTTCAAGCGACAAGACACGAGCTTAGCACTCAGCACTTCCTTATGCCTCCGTTTACGGTATTTTCATTTCATCTCACAGACGTTCAAGAGGGAGCTGAAAACCAAGGAGCCTGTTATCCTGAGTGCGCTGGAGACCGTGCGAATGCTCCCAGCAGAGCAGCCTCCCGAGGGCCTGGAGAAGCCCCACCAAGAGCCAAGAGGTAACCAAAGAAAGCTCTAACAACTCAGTGATGACCAGCAGTGATTAAACAGATCCTGCTTGTCTCTGTGAGAGCAGTCCTTATGTACTCCAAGTTGAATCCCAGCATTCAGAAACTGAGCTAAAAATACAGATGAAAGAAACCCTTAGTGATCCTTCTGAACGCTGCAAAACTAAATAAATCTGCATATTTATAAGTAGATGCAGAGATTGGCTTTCAACCTCCTGGGCCCCTTCTGGGCACATGTATAACTGGAGACTCATCTGAGGCCTGAACACTGACTGAGGAAAGCCACAGTTGAACCTAAAATTCACATCGTACTTCAAGCAGCAGATTCAAAGCAGTTTGTTTAGAAACTGTGTGTCAGGTGTCAAGCAGATCAAAGGTGCCCATTGGACCTTGAGGGTTGGATTCAGCCAGGGTCCCACATCCAAGATCCACTCAGCTCCAGCAAATGATTCCCAGCAGTCAGTGCTTAGGTGTGTGTAGAACTATTTGCTGAATCATGTGCAAGGTGTAATGGGAAGTTTAAAAATGCGTTTAAGTACTTAAATGCATATTTGGTGGTCTGTATGACAGAAGGACTTAATTTTGCTGAGGGAGTTTTGAATTAGTGTACATTAGTGAAATAAGATGTCTGGGGTTATGAATAGTCCCTTACTGAGCTTTGAACCTCTTAGCTATACCCAGATGGCAGTTATTTATCTTTTAAGACAGAATATACCCTAAAAGTCTCTTGAATTTTACATTTAGAGTTATCACCTGAGGAAAGGGCACAGAATGTCGCTAAACTTCTCCGGAGGCAAGCAGATGAGGTCAAAATGGAGTGGGATAAGCTGAATATAAATTCTGCTGATTGGCAAAAGAAGATAGATGATGCCCTCGAAAGACTGCAGGGGCTTCAAGAAGCAATGGATGAACTGGACCTGAAGCTGCGCCAGGCTGAAGTGTTCAAGGGATCCTGGCAGCCAGTGGGCGATCTGCTAATTGACTCTCTGCAGGATCACTTAGAAAAAGTCAAGGTATGTTTCAGTGGAGCTGTATTTTTGAACATAAAATTGCATTGGCTGGTTCACTGCATGACCCCCAAAACAGGAGTTAACCTTTAAAATAAAAGAAGTGATAAGTTCCTAATTACACTGTTTTTCATTTAAAATACAGAAACATTTAAGAGTTTTATAATTTCTGCAATTAAAATGGAATGAAATAAAAATTAAGAATATATTTTCATGGTATAGGTTAAAAAGGCACTCTAGGCATTTGCTAATGTCATCAGTACACTTAATATTAGCTCAGGAAATACAGAATTAAGACAAAAGAAATCAAAAATAGAGTCATTAAATAGGCATATGTATGGTAAAGGCATGCAAAATTAATTCCTTCCTTTATTATTCTTAGGAAACATGCATAGTGGTGCCTGCGCCTTATGCCTGCACAGTTGTGCCTGTGCTTGTAGAGAAGATGGTCTTGGTGCTGGTTACATCACTCTGAAGTTATGTTCTGTCTGTCCTCCTAGACAAGTTGACCTCATACTCAAGACAGTTTCAAAAAATGAAGTACCTGGGAAAAGTGCCACTGTTATTGGTATCTCAATGCTTGTCTGTTTTCGAGGCTTGTTTTATAAGACTTGCTAATTGAGAAACTTGTGAGGACCTGTCCTCATGCAGCATGGCTGCCAGGGCCAGAGCTTGGCGGTAAGAACCCAGTGCCTCTGCTCCATTCATGTCAGTGGGAAACCGCAGTTACCTTGAGAGACCTGCACGGACTCTTAATTTCTTTACCTTAACATTGGGATATAAGGAAGAGGACATAGAATTGCTAATGGCAGAAAAAAAAAAAAAAAAAAAAAAAAAAAAGCTTATACAAAAAACACAAAGGCCTTGAGTTTTAATCACATAGAAATTTAAGGGATCCTGTACAAATAATGCACAGGACAAATAAAGTAAAATACTTGGTACCAATGAACAGCTGCAAAATCTTTTTTTTTTTTTATTTTTATTTAAACTCATAAATGAATAGAATGAGTCTTCTTAGGTAACATAAAAATTGAGTATCTCTTGTCACTAGAAAACACAGCATGTTGCTTAGTTTTAAAGCTGCAACCGTAACGATTGACTCTGTAATTATAGTGCTGAATCGTGGTACAGTTCAGAAGAAGGCAGTATCTGTCATACTAACAGAATAGAAGTGTAGTAATGGCTATGATAAAAAGGAAACCTGAAGCTTATGAAATCCTGAGGTTATATGTAATGATAGATTTCTCTTTATTCTTTCTGAAGTCTTAATAGTAGGGACAAGCAGAAACCAAAAATTTTGTTTCAAGGTATAAAATTAGACCTTACTTAAAATATATGGGTATATTGGCCCTAACAAAAGATATTCTTACCTAAGACCTAAGATAAATGGTAAATTAAGAAAAGCATACAGAATATCTTCCAGTCCTGAGAAGCTATAACTTTTCATAACATATTTACAATTACAGTGTACTTAAGTGATACTCTGCTTTCATCAGCCTCTGAGTAATGATGAGTCGTAAAACTTGGGTAATGTGCCTAGAGTTGAATGATATTAACTGTCTGAAAAGTACAGTAACTGTCTCAAAATGTGTTGCCTAGAGGCTCTTTAAGGCTCTTCTAAAGAAGTGCATTGCCAACCTAGGTGCTAAAGAGAAAGGCATGTACTGTGGGCAATCTGTTCACATTTGTTAAATGAATAACCAGCAAGAAAGCTCCACTTGTGTTTGCAGTTTGAAACCTGTTCTCATAAATGAGGGTATGTATATTTCTTCCTATTTACAACATCAGTATTTTTTTCTTAGAAATATATTCTTAGAAAGTTACAAATCATGAATCATAATTTCTGTAATTCTAAAATAACCATTTTATGCTGATTTAAGTTGAAATGCAAGTGAGAAATTTCTTAAGGGAAGCACGTGCTGATATTCAGCTCAGATTGAGAGGCAAAGGGAGAATTAGTCTCCCAAAGCTCCCCACAAATCTGCTACAAACCACAGACCTTCTGCAGGCAGTGTGTTCCTCAGAGATTGCTATATCTCAGTCTTATTTTCTCTGTTATTGTCCCTCTTTCCTTCTCCCGGGTGGATAGTCTTATCTGCAAACTGAAGCTCAACCTACTTTCTTAATGACACACGTCTCTCTCTCTCTCCCTTTCTCTATTCCAAGCAGATCTTCTTGTCCCTTTAAATCCATTGTCACCTAACTGTCTTAAAGTTATCTCTAGCCCAGATCAATCTATGAATTGTCCCCTTGTATCCTCATATCCTTTGGCTGTTTATTTTGATTGTAGCTCAGATCGTATTTTAGGCATGACCTTGAATTTCTGCTGCTCTTTACAGAGATGTTTGTCAGTCAATACTATAAAATCCTGTCCTTCAAACTGACTAGAGCACCCAGGCTGACATGGAGTCGTGGAATCATAGAATCCTTAAGGCTGGGAGGGACCTCTAGAGGTCTTCTAGTCCAACCCCCTGCACACACAGGGTCATTCATTACATTAAGCTTTTCCTGCTCTTCCTATAGGGCATAATCCCTCCCCCAGCCATTCGGTAGGCTCTTACTTGAAGAGCTGCCTTTCTGCTCTTTCTTCAGAGAAAACAAACACCCTCTTTTGCTCAGGTTGTGGCTATGCTACTATTGTGCAACTGTCATTAGATGTCTGTGGCCTTGGAGACCTTCTGTCCAGCTGCAGCCCTCTGCGCTGAGAAATACTGGTACTGGCCAGGAGCGATGCTGTGGGGCATTCACAGGAGTCCTCTGAAGAAGTCCTGGTTTTGACACAACTAAGCTCAGAGAAATCCTTTAAAAACTAGAAGAAGGTGCTATTTTGGGATGCTGTATCCAAAACTTTGTGACTGTGAGGGCAACATAATTTTAAAGGTACACTTTATTTATTAGTAAAGGTAGTTTAGATACTCCAGTGTGCTAATGAGCACATAGTGCAAAGCAATTACGCTACTGATGTGCTACCATATACGGACTACTGGCATAAAATGGCTTCAGTTATTGACTATTCACTTTTCAGACTTGCACAGCCCTGTAAGTGAGCAGCAGAGCCCTTAGAGTTCGTGAGGGAACAAAGCTGCTTTCTGATTTATTTATCTAGACCACTGTTAAAATAAATAAATTCAAGAACAGAACGGGATATCTATGGTTTGCAATAGAAGTATGTGTCAGAACACCTGCCAAATGAAAACTGAGTTGTGCCACCCCATATTCAAGTAACTCCATTATGTGATAAAATTTATTCTCCTTTATTTTCACATAAAGAGGGCACCTTGACTGAGTGTGGTGGTTGTTCACTGTGAAAAGCAGAGCAGAATTGAGAGAGATGAGTCTTGTATTTTCCTGTGAGCAGCTTTCAGAGGCAGGTTGCCTGCTTGGAGCTGGTGGTGGTGGTTGCAGATGCCCTTTTTCGTTTATGAATAAAGAAGCTTCACAGAATGACTATGAACTTTGCATATGAAATGGAGGTTTTAATATACTTATTTTAAGAAATATTTTCATGGAGGCAATAAGTTTTCTTTCAAAATCTCTTTTTTATGGCCTATTACGTGTTTTCTTATTTATTTTCCTACAAAATCTTGAAGCAAATGGCAAGGAGAAGTGCACATGAAAGTTTATGAAGCATATGAAATATACTTATAGATAGAAGGATATGGAAGGGGTTTTTTTTGTTTTGTTTTGTTTTTCTTTTCTCCCTGAGCTATCAGACCTGAATTACATGGTGTTTATTCCAGGCTTTCTTCAGTGTAATTGACAGTTGTGGCCAACTTCATGTTTCTGACAAATATTCACTGGAAAGTGTCCACCTGAAACATTCTTCTAATTTGTGAGCGGAACAGAATTTGCACTTGCAGAGTTGAGAAATGGATTGACCTGCTTGCTGTCTATTCCAAAATCATTTTCCGTGTGCACTCAATCCTTTTGTGGATCCCTAGGCATGCCCTCTCTAAATGAGACAAAAAGCAAGAGAAGGAACCCTGTAAAATAACTGGTCCAATTTCAGGTGTGTCAGTGTGTGGTAAAAGAAAGAAACGAAATAGATTTTCTTTCAAGGAAAGATTAAAATACTGTATTTTTACAAACACTTTCATACTAAATCAGCAACCTGAACTAATGGACACTGAATAAGCATAGGCAGCTCATAAGGAAAAAAAAAATTTCTATATACTTCTATACTTCATTTTCATGCTATTCAGCTACTCCTGTGCTGAAAGGGAGAGTTTCAGAAAAATGGACCCTTACCGAGCTATTGTGAAGAAGCTGTGTGGAAAGCTGCCTTCAGTGGAGGTTTTGAGAGCAGAGTGGTTGAATTGCTAATGTATAGAAATTCGCATTCACAATAACATAGGATATTAAAATCCCTCAAAATTATTTGAGGTACTCAGGTAATGCTTGGGATGCTTAAGATAATATTCTGTCGTTGCTGAAGGAAGAATGGTATTTTGGTAGGAACTAGTAGAGGTCAGATGTGGGAGAATTAATGAGTGACACCTGAAAATAAGACAATAATAATCCAGATTCATCCACTGCAAACAATGTGTTTAGTGGGTGTAAAGAGACCAGTTTTGAATAGCTATATAGGAACGATGCAAGATGTAGGTACGTGGAAGATTTATTGCACAAGCTGAACTTGAGCCAGCTATTTGTCAGCAGCTCAAGGTTCATCCCGGAGCAGACTGTAGGGTGATGTCCGTGATCCTGTTCATTGTGTGATAATGTGAAAGTAGAGTGAGGGCTCTCTGTGTAGCCAGCAGACCTCCTACAGCCCATCCTGTATGCTAAAAAGTCATTATTTCACCTACAGAGCCTTTTGGAGGTCTTTCTACAGTCTCTTTCCTTGATGATGGATATAAAAAAACATTTTTCATGTGTATTTCATATGAAATACAGATTTCATTTGTCTAAATCCACTTGGACACTTTGAAAACCTGCAGATATCATTATTTACATAGGCTTTGAAGTATATTTCTGTAAATTTAAAGTTTTGTATTGTTTGCTGT